ATATATATATATATATATATATATATATATATATATATATATACATATATATATATATATATATACATATATATATATACATATATATATATATATACATATATATATATATATATATACATATATATATATATATATATATATATATATATATATATATATATATATATATATATATATACATATATATATATATATATATATATATATATACATATATATATATATATATATATATATATATATATATATATATATATATATATATATATATATATATATATATATATATATATTATATATATATATATATATATATATTATATATATATATATATATATATATATATATATATATATATATATATATATATATATATATATATATATATATATATATATATAGGATGTTAGGCAATAATTAGTATACATGTATACAAATTTTACTGTCTAAACACATTTTTAAATTCAAATAACTACGCCCACGTTTCTCGCTATTGCGTTTTTTTTTTATCGATTATTATCAATAATAATTATATTAAGAGAAATTAAAACAAAAAAACTGCAGTTTGACTTCATAATAACTTTTTTTATAGACTAAAATTTAAAAAAAAAACATTTTTTATTTTTTTGTTTTCTAGATACTGCATAATATTCGCTCAATAAAAACTTAGATAGCATTGAAACAACTATTTGTTATTTTTTATGCTATCATTTTAAAGTAATAAAAACTAAATATAATACAAAATTATAAACTTGTATCTTCTACAAGTTTGAAACATTACCAGTAATATTTATTTATTTATTTTTTTTAAATTTCTGGAAACAATAAAACTATACCTACTCAATAAAAAAACGCGACAACAACCATAAGTGTTAGTCTTAGATGCTAATTTATCAAAAAAAATTTATAAGCATTTAAGGAACATGCTCTTCAATTTAACTCTATATACCCATCATATCATATAGTAAAAGAGGCTAAAATTAAATGCTACCCTAAAAACATTCAGGTCAGTGACTACTCTGCAGAGGTACTATTACAAGATCTATTTCTTTATTTTGCATCAATATTATGTTCAGTTTATAGTGTTGTGTTAAATTTACCTGTGCTTAAAGATTGCACTAGACTAATTCTAATATAAAAAGCTGGCTTTGATGGTGCAACAGGTGGTCAATCTGTTTTTAAACAACAGTCTGATAATACAATTGAACTTAATACTGATGAATCGCATTTCATAACTTGCTATGTTCTTCTAGAACTATATTGTTTCAAAGATGAAACAAAACAGGTTGTTTGGAGAAATCCCAAAACATCCTCAACTAGCTACTGTAGGTTCTTAGATTTGAATATAGAAAATAATCAAAAGAAGTGGCTCTTGCAGAATATGAGTCAATTACTACTTTTATTAAATATATAATATTATTTAATGTATCTGTTTTATTGGAGGACGGTACAATTAAGGAAGTTGAATTACAACATATTGTAAATATAACAAGGATAGATAGGAAAGTTCAAACTATTAGTTCCACAGCTACCAACTCTTACCAATGCTGTTGGTTTGCATCTCCAAATGAAATAAACAATCTATCTTTAATAATTCAAAAAAAAACTTTAGAAAGCAATATCAGACATTGTGTTTCAACTTTTCATGCTTTGATAATGTTTTTAGAATGTATGCTCCGTGTATCTCTTACAAGATGCCAATTATGAAGTGGCAGATTAGAACTGAAGAAGAAAAAAGTATTGTTAAACTGAGAAAGGTTCGAGTTCAAGCTCGAGTTTAAAAAAGTATTGGTCTTGTCATAGACCAACCAAGAATAGGTGGGGCAGGTACATCAAATGATGGTAACACAGCTATGCAACTTTTTTCAACAATGCGATGTCTCAGCTAATATAATGAACATAGATGCAAACCTTATGAAAAGGCTTTATTATTATTCTGGCCACAATGTTATTCTGGCCACAATGTTATGTAATTGTGACGTTAGCTCATCAAAATTTAAAACATTCTGTTAGGAAACTGCTTTGCTATATGTAGACCTGTACTCTTGGTATCCTATGACCTGAACACTTCAAAAGATTTTGATTTATACTATGAAGTCATTGAACTATTTACTCTTCCATTAGGTATATTTGCCGAAGAGGCTTTAGAGGCTATTAATAAGGTTTTTAAGATCTTTCGTGAAAATTTTACAAGAAAATGCGATCGAAAAAAAAAAAGCAATTTAGACCTTTTTCACTGTCTTTTATGTGCATCTGATCCTTTAACTTTTTTTTGTTTTGTTTTTGTTTTGTTTTTGTTATTCACCTCCTCAAGGGCAACAAGGTCACTACAGATGAGGAGGCTACTTAATAGTGGTTATAATCTTTTCTCAACTCTATAACTCCGAAATACGAACTCTGACAAACAAGGTCGCTGCGCCGAGAAACAAATTAAGCGAAGTACTACCAGGAACGTGGTGGGGACCGAATTAGGAACCTTTCGCTTATGAAGCAAGCGTTTTACCACTAGACCACTACCGCATTTTCAAAATGCGGTAGTAAAAAAATGGAAAAAATTAGCATTTTTAAATAATTTGCGTAATTATGTAATAAAATTTAAGGTTTTTTCAAAACAAATGTTATTTTTTCAGCAGATTGTGTTTTTCAATGTAATAAACTGTTAATAAAAGTTAATAAAATTTTTGTTTTTTGGGTTTTGGCTAAAAAATGTCACTTTTGACCAACTGTGCAATGCGCAAATAGCTTCAATTTAAATTAGTATAAATTATTTATTTAGAATTAATTTTTATTAGCTAATTTTAAAGTCACTGCACAAATTTTTGCAACCTTTAGTAATTAATATTTTAATTTTTTTTACTTATAGTCTTTAAATTACTTTTAATTTCATTATTTTTTTAAATTACCTGGTGTTTAAACAAACAATTGTTTAAAATATGTTTTGACTGTTATTATTTTGTAAATTTATTGCTTTGTTTCTTCATTAATTTTTGAAATTTGATAAATTGACCATTTCATTAAAAACGGAGTTTACTGTTTTTAACAAACTAATATATATATATTATTTTGTTAAAAACATTTATGCATGTTTATACATTATATGCACATTGTAAAGGATTCTAAACTTATATTAAATAAACAACATAGTTTAACAATAAGAACAAGAACAACCTTTGTAAATATGTAACAGCATCTAAAGAGTACACAAGAAAAAATAGCATAGTCACAATTAAAAAGTTTTGAGAAAGTATATATTGATTATTTATAAGTCTTTATATAAAGCAAAGAAGTCTAAAAATTAGAAGAAAATAGTAACATCTCTTGGACAATTTATCTAATGTTTACTTTATGATAAAAAAAAATTTATAAATTTTTAAAAAAAAAAAAAATTTTAATAAAATTTTTTTTTTTAAAAAGACTTTTATAAATATGATCAATAAAAACTTTTCAAAACTTTTTAAATGTTGTTTCTTCTCCTGTGCTGCTCTTTATCTGCTTGCTTTTAATAAAAAAAAATTTTAAAAAAAGACTTTTATAAATATGATCAATAAAAACTTTTTAAAACTTTTTAAATGTTGTTTCTTCTCCTGTGCTGCTCTTTATCTGCTTGCTTATTGATATAAACAAAATAATGGTTGACATTTTATATTCATTTTCACTCGTGAGTTTACAAAATCTTAAAAAGGAAAAAACATGACCAAATATGACAAAAATTAACGCAACAAAGGTTATATTGAATCTTAATAATTTTTTTTTTATTATTGATTCATTATGGTAATTTAAAACCTTCAGAATTCTATAAAACCATTATTTTCAGTTTTCAGAACAATTACTACAGTTAAAAATTTAATAAAAAACCATATTTAATGAAAATTGTAAGACAATATTTTCTTAACAATTTTCGTTATGCATGCATTCAACTATGTGAAAATTATTAACAAGTTAATAGGCTAATATTAGCATAGCAATTATGACCAATATGAGCATGTCAATATTACTCAAATATTGTTTCTCCAATATTTGAATCTAAATACTGGAGATTGACATTCTAATATTGAACAAATGATATTGGAGTAAAATTGACATGCTAATACTTGCCAATATTGGTAAGCCAAATATTAGTATACCAATATTGGCGCAATATTGTTTACTGTTGTTAGCACCATATGGCATATCTAGCCCAATATTGGCCAAGATAACTTATATCACACTATTATTGCACTAATATATCTTGCTACTAAGGTAGAGAAAGAGAAAAATAAAAAGGAAAAAGAAAAAAAAATTATTAAAAATAAAATGAAAAAAAGTTTAACATACATTTACCTTTTTTTAAACATTTTAAAACTTTTTTTTATCAAGCAAGTGAAAAGACAACAATATATATTTTTTAATAAATTAAACTTTGAAAACTAAATCACTGGTAAAGTTATTAAATACAGATATTATTTTTGCAATACTTACATATTTTATATTGTTACTATAATTTTTATTATATTTATATTGTTACTCTATAATTTTTATTATATTTATATTGTTACTCTATAATTTTTAAAAATAAAAATAACTATTAGTTGCAAATTTGCAATTAATAATAATAAATAAATTTAAGAAATAATAAAAGAAAATTAAACATTTTAATTCATTCATACAAATTTTGAGAAAAGAAAAAATCAATTTGTTTTAAATATTAAAAAGAAAGTAATATTGATCTTGTTTTGCAGAAGTTTAATATATTACAGCAATTTAAAAATTTCAAAAAAAAAAAAAAAAAAAACAGTAATAAAGCAATCTAGCAAGCAATCTAGCAAGCAATCTAGCAGCTGATTTTTAAGTAAAAGGTTAGTTATATAATCAATGTTGACAACAACATACTTGATGAAAGGGATTGATTAAATGATAGAAAAAGCAAAAAAAAAATTAAAATACATTCACTGACCATGTGTACCAAAACAGTTAAAAAAATAAAAAAATAATTTTTTCAATGGAAAGGTTTACTTACTGGAATTTTATCTTGTTCTAAGATACCATTTTTAACAAATGTATGAACAGCATCAACAGTAATAAAATTTGACATCAATTTGCAAACCCAAGATGGATTAATAAAAACGCAATCTCTTAAACCTTTATTTGCACCATCAAAATAAAGAATAGTGCCTTTAAAAAAAAGAATAATTTAAACCTTTTAAAAAAATAAATTTAAAAATATTGAAATTAACAATTATATTTGAGTTTGCATTTTGTATTTGTAATTTTAAAAAAATAAGAAACAGATTAAAGTAATTAAATTAATAAAAATAATTTTTATGTTATTATTATTATTTTTTTGTAAACATTTTATATTTACAAATATAGTTATAAACAAGTTCTAGGTAATGTCTTCTTAACAAATTTTTGAATATAAATTTTTTTTTCACATCCCCAAGAATCAGAAGGCCACTACAGCTAAGGAGGCTATTTTTTGTGGTTACAAACCTCTCTCAACTCTATAACTTCAAAACATGAACCTCCACAAACAAGGCCGTTGCATGGAGAAACAAGTTGAGTGTGGTACTACCAGGGATGTGGTGGGGATTGAACTCGGAAATTCTCAACTATACCGCTTTTTCTTCAAAGAGCGCTCGACAACTACACCACTACCGCATTTACAATTACAAGCTTTTAAAACAATGGTTCCTAAAACAATGGTTCCTAAAACAATGGTTCCTAAAACAATGGTTCCTAAACATTTAAATGCAACACTAATATAACTTTAGTTTGTTTTATGTATGTATGTGGACAAGCTTCATCAGCCACATTATTTTTTTTTATTTTCAATTATAAAAATTTGCTTACAAATAATTTGTCGGAAATTTTCAGTTTTTTTTTCATTCATCATTTCAGTAAACCAAAAAGAAAAAGACTTTTTTTTTTGCACTCCAGTTGGCTGCCACACGGTTGCATAAAAATACTAACAAGCTACACATTTAACAACTCTTGGTGCTTGTATACAAAAAAAAAATAACCTTGAAGTACACCAGCTGGTCCAGTTTGTGCAAGTGCATGAGCCACCAATTTGCAAGTGATTGGATAGCAGAAGCGGAGTACAGATCAATCACTTTAATGCTTCGAAAAGATGGGACAAATTTTGTGGCTTGATTTTCAACAGCTTCAAGAGCAATTATGTTTTTATGTACATTTTAGAATGAAAAGAGCATCAACAAAAAAAAGCTTTGACAAATTGAAAAGAAACCAGAGTAAAAATACGAACGCTTAGCTAAACGGTTGGGGACCTTTTTAATTAAAGAGAAGTGCATTTATTTATTGGCAGATGTTTTTGTTGAAATCATAAAGATGAATTAAAAAAAAAAAACTTTTAAAAACTAACCGAATGAATAACTAAATTAGTATGTTAAAAATTTAAAAAAGATTTTGATTACTGATTTTAATTTAAACTGTTACATTATTCTCTCTCATAAACACATTATTCTCTCTCATAAACACATTATTCTCTCTCATAAACACATTATTCTCTCTCATAAACACATTATTCTCTCTCATAAACACATTATTCTCTCTCATAAACACATTATTCTTTCTCATAAACACATTATTCTCTCTCATAAACACATTATTCTCTCTCATAAACACATTATTCTCTCTCATAAACACATTATTCTCTCTCATAAACACATTATTCTCTCTCATAAACACATTATTCTCTCTCATAAACACATTATTCTCTCTCATAAACACATTATTCTCTCTCATAAACACTTATATCATTTTATTCTCATATTTTCAGCAAAAAAGGATACTTTGATCAAATTTTAGTACCTTCGAAAAGTGTCTGCATAAAGTGTCTGCATAAAAATTACTATTTTACCTGCTCTGGCTTGGCCGTATCTAGCTGTGAGAAAGACAATACATTTATCTGCTTTAACTCAATAAAAAAAAAAACTTTCATGATGTTATCAAGGCCTATTTAGCCCTAAAACAATCTAAAGTCAAACCTGAAAGGTGCATTATACTTTATCAATAAATGTCTATTATCAGAAACAAGACAAATTATTTCATTACCAGTATCTCAGTTAAAGAAAAATTCTTTAATTAAATTACCAGTAAACCTGGCATATTTTAAAAAAACATTTTGAAACTCACAATATTAATAATAAAAAACAATTTTTTTAATTTTCTTTTAATAGTTTTATTTTCATGTTTAATAATCAGAACAAGGTTAATTTCAGACTAGTTTCAAACTACTAATCAGATCATTTCAGATAAGCTTCAAACTACCAACATCAATCTTTCTTAATGTCAAAAAAATATTCTGGTTCTGGATTTTTTTTTTTTTTCCTGTTTGGGTACATTTTCTGATAAATAGTAATTTTTTTTATCATAATATTGTTTTAGAATACTATATTATTTTATATAATACAGTATTATAAAACATATCATGACTACAGAACCTTAATAATTACTAAGTATACGTGGCGCACATAAAACAGTTGATGATGTACACTAATTACCTTTCCCAAATTCTTCATTAACAATGAAGGTCTATGCTAATTGAAATAATGTTGTACAACAAAATACAAAGTCTATTGATTTTTTATCTAAAAGAGCTATAAATTTAATAGCTGGCATTGATCTGTGAACTGAAGAAAGACCGAGACACAAAAAATTGTTACAGACATGTATATTTATATTCTTGAAACAATTTTTTTTTTCAAATGTCCACTAATCTAATGGGATACTAAAACCTTCACCTTGATTGGTTCGCACTTTTTGCTTAGCTAAGATTTATTGACATATCATCTCTTCACTAATTTATTGAATGGTAGTTTATTAAGACTGGTAAGGGCTAAGGATTATAATCCTTAGCACTTAACAGTCTTAAATCAAATAATGTACAAAATTAAAAAAATAGGTAATCATCTGTGGCTGTTAATTGCATAACAACTTCCATTTTCAATGTATAAAACAATATCATGGCAAATTTTTATCTTTAATATAGTTTCTTATAATATGGATGATTATAGTTTCTTAAGTTTTTTAATAATGTATGTATGTAGGTAGGTATGTATGTATGTATGTATGTATGTATGTATGTATGTATGTATGTATGTATGTATGTATGTATGTATGTATGTATGTATGTATGTATGTATGTATGCAAGCCTTGTTATGAGATTTTGTTATGTAATGGAAAAAACCTAACGCAAGTAAATGTAACTTTACTCAATAAACATATTTACATAGTAGTATTAGTAGTATTTATTATGTTGCAACAATCAAAAGCTTGTGTAACCACTTCTGGTTTTTAAAATTAACATTTTATTTAAAAAAACTTAATAGCAAATGAAACTGTTTTTTTAATCATTTTAGATGCATTGCTTAAAAATATCTAAAAATATGTCCAACCTTAATTTAAAACTATTTTCAGTAGTGTCAAATCATGGGTGTGTTGTTGTAGATAATACTTCAAACATTTGTTGTTGAAAAGAACAATCTATAACAAATAAAAAGCTTTTTATGAGCACGGTCTCAGCAATTTTTAAATTTCACAATTGCCCTAACCAACATTTTGCAAAAACATTTGATGTTGTTAAGCACAGAACAAGCTAAAAGGTGGTAATGGGAGCTTTTTTTATCTAATTGGAAAGAGGTATGGAGTGGAGTACTGCAAGGTTCCATGCTTGGACCTGTTCTATACATAATATATATTAATGACTTATCAGAACTATTATCAAATGTAAATAAATTGTGTTCTAATGATACTAAATTATTAGACAAAGTAAATAGCAGCAATCATAAAACTGTATTACAAGATGACAAACAAAATAGCAAAATTTTCAGAGACATGGCTTCTTTACTTGAATCATACAAAATATAAAGTGATGAACCTTGGCAAATCAAAGAGCAATCACACCTACACAATTTTATCAAAAAGTGAGATAATAATTTTATACAATACAATTGAAGAAATTGATCAAAAATACAAGTTCTTATTGATTTAGTTTTAAAGAAAATAATTTTTACTTTTGTTGTTTTGATATGTTTTAAAAAAATTATTATTATCTATAAAAAATAATTTTATGCAATTGTAGGTTGCATTAATTAATGCTTTGTGTAATTAGTTAAAAACAGTAGTTTGAACTTCATTAAAAAAAGAATTCTGTAGAAACAAAGAATGTCGTTCAAAAACAGTCTCTTTTATTTTAATTTAATTTTAGTTTTTTCAGGTAATTAAATAATTAATTTTTTTAATTATTTATTTTTAACTTTTTCATAGTTAAGTTTAGTTTTTTCAGCGCATTTTTGAAATAATTAAATATTAACATTTAAAACATTTATTTTTTATTATAAGCGATGTGTGAAATATTAAAAACAATAAATCAAATAAACTTTAAATGATGTTTTTACAAAACTAAAAATATTCTGTAGTTTTACTTTTCATATAGTGATTTTCTAATTTCAATATTATATTCATTTTATGTTTCCACGTGCACTTGGTTAAACTAGTTAACATTCCATTGTTGAAATTAGAAACTATTAATGACTTTAAAATGTTCATTACGTTAGTGCAAAACAGAAACTTGCAGAAGTAAATTTTTTTTTTTTATTAATTCTCCTCATCAAGACCGAGAAAGCCACTCAGACGAGGAGGCAACTTAGTTGTGGTTATAAACCCTCTCTTAACTCTATAACTCTGAAACATGAACCTTGATGAATAAGGCCCCTGCACAGAAAAACAAATTGACATAGTGCTTTTTATATTTTATATCAGCACTTCAATATTACTATATCTTTAACTATATTTTAGATACCTTGAAAATTTTTTATTAAAAAATACTTTATAAAGAATCAAATAACATTATACTATTTGTTCCGTCCCAAACTTTTATACAAGCATGATTTTATAGTCTGGTTATAAGCTGAACAAGCGTTGTTTATTGCGTCTTGAAAGTTTGAAAATACCATATATAGGCACATTTCATGAGCGCAGCTTATTGCGCCTACTTTATCACAAACCCTGGCATGGGGCTCTGAGTGCTTGGTGAACTTATACTTAGATAAAGCTAAATTTTTTTCAGGTAACTGTTATCACAACAATTTAGATATTCCTATATTTATAAACAGTATTCGATGAGTCATCTACTCTACCTCTTTTAGGA